AATTGACATAAAAGGCCATGAAAAAATTAGGACCATTTCAAGGATATTAAGAAACGACGAGCTCTCAGATAAAGCCTTCTGGCCTATGCGGACACTCTCCATTGAACATGGTCTATTATTGGACAATCTTGAAATGACCCCAACTTTTGCAAGTAGGTGGGCATGCCCATGGTAGGCATCCATGCTAGGTTTGAATGATTACCAATACCGTATGCAAGTTGTGTCACGTCCGGCCATTTATTGACATTTTTTGACCTAGAAAACTCCAGAAAAAATTGCGGAAGGGATAATGTGCTAGCATCTGGCCCAAGTTCAAGCAAAATTTTGATTTTTTTTATGAAAATCCTATTTTCTTTCTGAAGCATACTCTCACATCTCTGAAAGCAATGTTTGATTTCTTGAAACAAATATTTTTTTTCTGTTGGAACCAATTCCATTTACATTAGAAACAAAATTCCGGTTCATGTATTGTCTATGCATAGCAAATATAATACATTGCTATGTTGTACATAGATTTTCACTCAATAGAAGAAATTATCCGTTGGCTTGGAAGCAGTTTCTCAGCAAGTAATGCGACAAATTACATGTTTTTTCCGCTTCATACAACTTGTGTTCATGCTTCCATGGAAGCATGGTTCGAGTACATTTTGTTCTTGTGCTACATATAACTCACTTTCATGGTTCAATGGAAGGATGCTTCGAATTTGATCACCTGGTCTGATCTTGTCAATGACCTCAACCTGTCGTTTCACAACGCACACTCAGTCGGCACTCGACAATGGCTACCAACTTGTTTAATGGATTATATAAAGCACACAAGGAAGCAAGCACACGGATAGCGGAGTGAAGCAAATATTATTGTGGATACATGTGATATGAGAACGTGAAGCCTATGATTTTGATGATCATATCAGAATTAAGCAAATATTGGGGTCATTGGAAACATGTTATACGAGCCAATGAATGAAGCATGTTAGTTTCAGTCGACGCATAATCAAAAGTTTTAGTTGCATTGGAAAAAAAATTGGTAACACTGGATACAACTTTGGCTTCATATGGAAACAAACTGCATGGTGCGAAAGCTTATTTCGCTACATTGATTATTATGCTTTAAAATGTAGAATTAGTTTTCTACTATGATTTATTATGCGTCCTTAAATCATGGATTTGTTACCTCCAACCACGTGATTTGCGGGCAGTTACTACTTTCCTCTAATCACGTAAGGAAAAAAAGCATTGCTGGCGCAGGTCCCATCCCTTTCCATCGGTCGCTCGGAGATAAACTTTCAGTATCTCCTAATTTATATTGGCATAGAAATAGAAAACATATAACAAGATCAAGTGGTTACTATCTTACAAGATATACATAACCCGTTTTTGCAAACTAATTATTACTACTAACAAATATCTCCTAAATTTATATTGTCACATATATGGACAGATATAATAACATCAAATAGATAGATATATATACAATTAAAGATGGGATCAGTTTTTACCAATTATAAGGACGATATAGTTGGATAGTTTTGATCTTATTGAGTGAAATGCAGGTAAATGTTCCCCAGTCGCAAGTCTATAAATATGACGTCGTGTATATATCCTTCTGGACACCTAAACAAGACGAGAAGGAGAAGCTTGTGTCTTATCTTATGGAGGGAAAAATCATTCTCCTTTGCCTTATGGTGATTGTGCAACTATGCATAGGCAATCCCATTCATGTTGGTACGAAATTGATCTCCTTTCTCCTACATGTCTATATTTTCAGCAGACCTGCACGAATTTCATTGCAATGTTTCACAATTTGGACTTACCTCAATGATGCATGTTCTTGTCTACAGATGATTGCGTGAAGGTGATTGCTTTTACAGCCGCTGAATGCTCAGCATTAGATTGCCGGAGATCCTGCCGGGATTCATGGGCAGAACACGTCTATAGAGCTTATTGTAGGGCTGGTAAAACTCAGCAATATTGTTACTGCTTTGTTTGTGATGAACAGTGATTGTTGCTGGTACCCATCACGTCAATCAATGGACAGTGATGTGATTCAGTAAAAAAATATTCTTGAGACATGCATGGTGTATTGATCACCAATTTTGATTGTTCTACTTGATTAGGCTTGATTTTTTCGTGATTACGAGATTTCCTTTGTTTGCATGGCCTCACGGTTACAACATGAATGAACAAAAAGATTACACTCCCAATTCTAATGGTTTTCTGATGCAATGAGAGCGGCCGCTTCGTTGTCATCTGGGACTTGTCACCCGGCGATTTCACTTGGAAATACTGTACTAGTAACAGCTTGAGAAGGGATTACATATTACCAATCGTACCATTGTTATTTTATTTTATTTTTGCTTTTCTCAAGCACTTTTGAAATGAGCACATTTTTCAGCCAAAAAATTGACAATTTCGCATTCTGACATGGCTCTGTCACATTTGAAACAAGGAAAGCAAGTGTAAGCCATATTTATAACGTACTAATTCAGCTACATTGTAAAATTGCAGCAATCCGTTTAAATTATTTCTAGATTTGAAACTTTTTTTGTGCATCTCTGGCACTGAGCCCAATTCTCATCGCTGTCAATGGTGTCAACCTGTTCTGTCATCAGAGCGGCAGAAATCCCAAATGGCAGTACCTTGGCCTTCTTGTTGTTGGCACAGTCCCGTACGCTGAGTACTTTTCGGCGTACTTTGTACGACGCGATTCCGATGATCTGTGCTTTTGGTCGTCGAGATACACGCGTACGTACACAAGGAGCAAGCAGGCAGACAAGCTGGTGAATGGATTCTTGACGTCAACTAGTACATGCACATGCACGTACGAAACTATCACGCCGGCTCGTTGATCGCTTAATCAACTCACCGAAACTCACGCACACACGCGAACAGGAGAACACGAGCGATCTATGGCCACAGGACCCTGTCGGTCCTATTGATCTGAGTTCGGTACAAATATTATAGGGGTCTATGTAGATATATATAGAAGCTAGGACAGGCAAGCTAACCAACACGGTTTGAAACTCCAATCCTACTACTACTACTAGTCATATACCTACACGGTGACTTGTTCTGGTCCGAGCCGGACACAGACCCCCATCGTGGTTAATTTTCCAACACTTGTTTCCTTCTGTCCTTGTCTGCCGTTGATGTTGGTGGTTCGACACTAGCCTCTTGGCTTGTGGAATTAAATTAGGTCTTTAAAATTGAAAACACCTAATAGCCACGGTTTTTGGAGCTCTAATTAAATTTGAGGGATGGATTAAAGCTGCTCTAGCATCCAATCCATCGCCGTGTCTTCCATGTTCCAACCATGGCTTTTATGTACGTGTACGATGGACTGCTCTAGCACAAAGTTCCAAGATCCAACCGTCGATGCAGGTCGGATATGAGCTGAGAAACATAATTAATGAGGGCCTCATCTCGTTCGCCGCACACGAAAGACAGATCAAACGCAGTGCTCTAGTCGTTCCTCGTCCGATTCTTGGTCGGGACGATCGAGTCGTGGACGTCGACGAAATTAATCTGCAGTTAGCTCCTCCCACCTGCAACGCCGTTTGGAAGCACACACATGCATGCATGCAAATGGTTCAGTTGAGTGCATGTAACAGGAGGAAGAAACTAAACAGAGTTCATACTTCATACTGACATTGCCCTACGAAAAAGGATCCCCTTTTATTCCAAAGCAACCAACCGATACATCCAAAAATAGGTGCTGGGGCAGAAGCAGTATAATCACACCAAAAGAAACGAAAGAGAAACAATAAGAGAAAAGAATGCCGACAACGGCGGATCAATGGAAACGAAGAAGCTTCACGACCACTGCGCCCACCGGAGATCTCCCACCAAACTCCAAGGCTCTGAAGCACCGGTACCAATCAGCACCTCCAAAAAGGACCGCGACGATGACGACGCTGCTGTCAAGGGTTTCCCCCAGTACACGACGAGGCGAGAGGAAGGGTTTCCCCGACGCCCTCCAGGAAGGTCTGGCGGCACCTACCGGCGTCTCCGCGTCGGTGTCGGACAGGCCGACAGGGGTTTCCCCCGATCCCAACCTTCACCTCGGATGCTCCAGACCCTGCCACCAAACCGACCACCATCTTGCGCCACCATGGTCAAGAAGCCTCCACGCCGTCTCACCACGGCACCACGAAGTGAGGTCTGCACAACAAGGGATAGGAGCCGGGACTAGGGGTCGCATCACCGTCGGCACGCGGGAGGGCACAACCTCCATCGTCAACGACGGTAGCCGACCGGACACAATAGCAGGAGCATAACAGGCCCGTGGGCTCACAGGCCCGGCCGGGAACTCCATGCCCGTAAAGCTCCCGCCATCGCGCTGCAGCAGGCACGCCGTCGGCATTGCCGCCCCCCGTCCGAGCTGCTCCTCCTCCTCACCACACAGACGACGACGAAGCCACACAGAAGACCGGCCCGCTAGGACCCAGATGGGGCCGGGAGGGCCCAAATCTAGGCCGGGGGCGCGCCTCTGGCCACCGCACGCCAGCACTCCGCCCTGCCGCCAAGGGCAGCACCGCCACCGCACCTACCACCGGCGGAGGCGGCGCAGGGGCAGGAACGGGAGGGGGGGCGGGGAAGAGGGGGGCGGAAAGGCCGGGGCGCGCGAGCCGGCGGCCTGGCGGCGGCGGCGACGGAACCCTAGGGGGAGGGAGCGGGAGATGGCAATCTGTGAGGGAAAGTTCCCCTTATTGTGCCCTGTCTCGAGTTTCATACTGACATTGCAACGCTACAGGAAAAGGAAACACACTAGCTAGGGAAAATGCTGAAAGAATAGTTAATTGGTACCTGATGGCGTTGCAGGATTTGATGAATCGAGCCCTTGATCCACCTGAGAATGAAGAGAAAATAAGTGGGGAAATGATTACTGAGTACTTGGTGAAAAGTAAGGAATTAAAAACAGAGAACCTCGAAGAGAGGAATGGGCACTTGGGAGCACTAGTTGCTGAAAACGGGAATGCGAGAGAGGTGTATACCTGTTCCTATTTGTAGATTTCAATGACGAGACGATTGGGATGGTCTTCCGCTGCGGCCCTCAGAGCCGCATCTGCTTCCTCCACCACCTTATCGCTGGCTTCCCTAAACCAAACGGTAACCTGGACTTTCTCGAGGGAGGGGAGGTGCCCCATGCTTAAATCATTGTCACCACGGCCGATCCACCTAGCTGGGAAGCTGAACTTCAATTCTTTAAGCCTTGGTGCGGCTCCTCGTGGAAATATAGACGGCACAATGGCGATACCACGGAAGTAGCACTTTTCCACACATGGAAATGCATCAGCAGTAACAACAGACTTCTCCATTTCCGTTACCCTCTGGTCCCACTTTACTGACTCATGTTGGGACCAATATCCATCATCGCTTAGATCGAGATAACGAAGGGCTGGCAACGTCCCAAGAAGCAGGATGTCCTCCGGTCGCACTTCACTCACAGTTATTTCCAGATACGACAGGAGAGGAAGCGATGAAGGATTAATCCATGCCGGCAGTGTCCATGCTGAGCAACCTGTAATTAACACTTTACGGAGTTGTTGAGACGGCACCAAGCCTTCGTGCATGAGATTGAGATGTCTCCCTTTGTGACCAGCAATATCTAGCACTTGCAATTTGTGGAGATTATTTAGGGATTCCACCAGAGTTTTAGCTATGCTCTCATCCAAAATTATCAAGAAAATATGGAGCACCCTCAGCTTGGTCAAGTTGCCCAGCTCTTTCGCAACATGGTGATTACACCAGTCATAAGATTGCATTTTACCCACTGCCAACCCCTTTAGCACTTCTAGGGAAGTTAAGTTACCAACCCCAGGCGGGAGCTTCACACTAAAAACCCAGCCAATGTCAAAGTACATCAGACGTTTAAGTCCAAAAACACTTGACGGTATTTCTATTACACTTGTTCCACTAATATCCAGGAGTTGCAAAAACAATAGCTTTCCCATTTCCATTGGAAGCTTCTTACCTCCATAATCTCTCAATCGTAGCTGCCTCAAATGCAAAAAATTCCAAGTATCCAGAGTAGGACAATGTTCTGAATCCAACACACGCAAAACTTGACAGCTTGAAACTTTGAACAGTTGGTCAACATTATCATTTGTGAAAACGGAAATTGATCTTACTTGAGCCATACTGATGGTATCCACTTCTACACTGCTATTTTGGATCGACAATCTTCGGACCTTGCTTTGGGAGTCAGAAATTTTCCTCTTGGTGCCATTCAATATAGTGACAAAGTTCTCTTCACTAGCCAATGAACATATGAGGTCAAGCACCATGTCATGTACACGACAAGCTTTTACTTTCTCTTCGTCATCAATACCTATCGGCTGGATCATACTTCTGTTTACTAACTCATTGAAGTAGCTGTCACCAAGCTCATATAAGCTAGTTTCTTCTTCATCACTATAAACAATACCTTCAGATATCCAGTTCAATATCAACTTGGCTCTGATGATCAGGTGATCTTCTGGAAAGATGCTTAGATACAGTAAACATGGCTTAAGATAAGAAGGTAGATCATAATAGCTGAATAATAATATCTTCTTCATCTCCTTTACATTGCGATTTTCTTTGAGTCCACGGCCAATGGAATGGAGCACCGCATCCCACTGGTCCTTTGTTCTCATCTGGCGGTTATTGGATAGAAGACTTGCTATGGTAATAATTGCTAATGGTATTCCACCACATTTCTTCAAGATGTTTTCAGATACTTCCACCAATTCATGAGGGCATTCTTTCTCATGAGAAAATATTCTTTTGTAGAAAAGCCTTCTTGAGACATCCTCACAAAGAGGTTTCATATGATAAATAATATCATGACTTGAAGAGCAACATGCTTCAGCAACACCGACATTGCGGGTTGTCATGATTAACCGACTTCCAATACTGTTCTTAGAGAAAGCCCGCTTGATAAAATCCCACGCACTTTCATCCCACGTGTCATCAATTACCATGAGGCACCTATAAAAATATTTGTGAGAGTTAGTTGACAAACCAATTAATGAAGATATATGTAAGAGTTTTTTTTATAAGGACAGACTATGGGCTATATGTCGGGTAATGGACCATAGTAAACCCTACGGATTCACATGAACAGTGTAAACCTACAGAATAAATCTAGAATGCGCTATAAGGATGTGTATGCACCAATGTGACATGGTGTTGATTTTACTAGACGAAATGACTATCGATCAATAGTATGAAAAAACAAGCATACCTCTTTTCATCAAGGAATTCAATGAGTTCGTCGATGAGATGCTTTTCTTCTCGTTTTGACATTATATATGTTTGAATACCTGACCTTGTCGAGTTCAAAAAGAATGTCCTTCAAGATTTTCTTCATGTTGGGATTCTGAGAAACCGACACAAAAGCACTGCAATCAAATTGCAGTTTGATCTTGTCATACACCATTTTAGCAAGAGTTGTCTTGCCTAACCCACCAAATCCAACAACAGAGACCATCTTCAACGGATTCTTTGACCAATCATCACCATCAAGCAACATATTGATCACCTCATCTCGTGGCTTTTCAATGCCGACGAGCTCTGTCACATCTGTGTACATAGCCTTGATGCGAGGGTCAACACTAGCCCCAGCACCGGCGCCCAGCGCCTCCAGCTTGTACCTTTGGCGCAGCTCAGCCAACTGTTTAGCTTGACGAACCGCTTCTTCTAGAGCATCGGAGATTCGATGGAGATCTTTACCCTTCTTGAACAATCTGCCAGTCTTCTTTAGTAACTTCTTCACTCTATTCTTCGGGTTGGCAGATCCATTGCCCAGGCGCAGCACGAAGGCGTCGACGATGTCCTCCATTTGGCAGGCCAGGTCCCTCACCATTCCAGCCCAGATCTTGACCTCCTCGTCAAGCTCCTCAGGCGGCACCCTCGCCACCTTGCCAAGAGCAGCGTGCATCAGCTTCAACTCCTTGTCGAGAGTGTCGACGCCTTTCCTCACGCGCTTCTCCAGGGTGAATTCGCCTGCGAGCAGGCCCCCCAGCTTCGGGAGGAGGGGGCGGATGGCCAGCATGGCGAGCTCCATGGCTAGACCTCTATGGGTGTGAGATTGTGCTAGTGTTTCGGCAGTGTGAGCGGAACAAGGCTGGTTACAAGGTATGCTCTCACAGTGTGCTATTCGTCTGCTGGTGTAGAGGAGAAGATGTGAAAGTGGGTTGAGATAGGTGATTTGCCCTAGGTTTTGGGGTGTGGTAAAGATGGATTATTCATTGATGCAACACAGCTTTTGGGGTATTGGTAAAAGCGGTCACGCGCAGCCACGTGAGATGTGTCTCTCCCTCTATACAAGAACACGCGACAAATGGCCTTGGATGCTGCCTGGATTACTGGGTAGTCAGGTCGGCAATTAGTTGAATAAATACTACCTGCCAAATTGCACAAACGGTAACATCAGAGAGAGAGAGAGAGAGAGAGATTACTACAACCGATGCACCATCACATGCACTGAAAAGGTACTACTTGAATACATTTTTTAGGGTATATACTACTTGAATGGATCAAAGCTGCAGCTAGTTAGATGTAATGACACTATTATACTCTTTGTCTGGTCTGGTTAGTTCCTGAGACCTAAAAAAGAGCACATAGGCTTTTTGAGATTCAAATTTTACCAAAAAATTAACGAATAAAATGTGGGTTATGTATAAAAAATATACCATCTTTTGTGAAGAAAAATGTATACCGTTAAGTTTGTATCTGAAAACAAATTCAATAGTATTTTTCTTAAGTTGCAAGATTTGTGTATATTACTATTTAGTAGTAATAAACTAGTCAGTTAAAAATAAAAAAAATACTTGAACAGAGCAGTTCATAAATGAATAGTGTGCGAGAGGCTACATCGAGATAAAATTGTCACAGAGGAAAGTATTGCTCCTCGTCATCAATACCAGTGGCGGCGTCGGCAAGTTGGTGATTTGGGAGGGGCATTCGAGCACCGAGAGAAGGTGACGTCAATATCGTGGCACACCACTAGTGTCAGAGGTAGGCATGTAACAGCTGGTACTCATCGTCGTGAGGGAACTGCTCGACACACATGCAATGCCTCATGTGATCGCCGTGCAACTGGTACATGCCCTCACATTTTTCACCGGTGCCACCATTGTCCTCCGACTTCACCTCCTCATCGGAAGGCATCAAGATCCTGATGGACTCATCAAGATGGTGGCGTTGGTTGGCAAACCCTATTTAATGTTCAACGCATCAAGAAAACCAATAGGCAGTAATGCATATGCGTTCATAGGCCAGCCCATTATGGGATCTCTATTGTTTTCATGTTTTCCGTTCCTCCTTTTTTCATTTTCTGTTCTTTTTTTCCAGTTTTGTTCTTACTTTTTTGTTGATTGTGTTTTTTTAATTCTTTTTGGAAAACACTGTTTCCACATTATATGAACACATCTTATCCGGACGTGTATGAACAATGTTTTTCAATCATTGAACATTATATTCAACAATAAAATTCCGAGCTTCTAAACAATCCTGTATAGCTTTCAGCAAAAAATCCGAACAAAAACTCTTTAACTTTCAGCTTTTCTTGCCATGAAAAGGGGATAATGAAGAGAGAAGCAATAGATGTGTGGGAGGGCCGCGTGAATTAGTGTCTCAACCATGAAGGGGACGTCACGTTGCACCACACTTGAGCAAAGGGGAAAGAGGAGCAAGACCGTGGACGCAGTCATTCGTGTAAGAGCAAACCTAGATACTGTTTAATGCATTTATAAAGTAGTATAAATTATGTACAGTTCTTTTTCCGTCAACTAATTTTATCCTCATTTATAGATTTAACTAAAATGGAACAAAATTAGAAAAGGTAAAGATAACTAGAAACATGTATGCAGCAAGTATTAGTAATTCACCCCGTCAGTTAAATTAAGACGACAAATGTATGCGCGCCCATTAAATTAAGAGGTTAAGTATGTACGATGGACATGGTAACAAGATGGTCCATAATTAAAAGATAGTAGTATCAGATTCATCGCATCCCATCCCATCCCACTACGCTCAATGCACACCCAGCAACGGGAAGCATCCTAATAAACAGTTAAACTCGTAGTTCCAAGCTAGCTGCATCAAACTAACTAGTTAGGAAAGCCAATCTAGTAATCATCAGCTACAAAAGAAAAGCATGAATATATAGACATCACAGCCCGCCCAAAGGTCATGAATGTTCAATTTGTGTAGAGAGTTCGTCCGCCGCCTTCCTCCGGCGGCTCACCTCCGCCGACGACCTTGGCCGTCAGTGGTGAGGGGGGTCACCGGATCTTCATGTGTGGATCGTGTAGTTTTTTAGATTAAAACCTAGTAGCTTAAGTTTTTTGGGTCGTTCTTCGTCTTGGCTTCGGCGATGGCGTTGACTGCGCTGAAAAAAGAAGCTTCAGATCCTTCGCCATCGAGGTGGTCTGTCCTATGGTTGAGGATGGAGTTGCAAACCAGTCTGTTTAACGAGGATGGCGTGGCGGTGGCGGCATCCTTATGGTGGACTTGTGTCCTCTGACTCCAACATTGCGATGGTGTTTGCTCCAGCACCGGCGCGGAGCCTGGGAGGTAGTTTAGGAGCAGATGAAGATTGTGGACTACAACGGTGACATCTGGAAGATGGCGGATTGTGTGGTAGGTTTGTGGTTGGTCGCAGGCAGGTACGGTCTCCTCTTCCCACGTTTTAGTCATGTAGGGTGCCAGATCTGGAGTTCGACGATGTGTCTGGGGTGTTGCCTCAATCTGATTCGTTTAAGGCAATGGCTTTGTCTTTGGCGAGACACCTTGAGGGTCTGCAAAGCTGCATATCCGCAATAAAGCTGTGTCGAGCGCGGGTCAGAAGATAATCTGACATTTTTTTTCCTTTGGTTGTTGTTGTGGTTGTGCTAGAGGTAGGTGTTGCACGTTGGTGTCAAGCTCAAGGGATTTTTCTGTCTTGATTGTAATTCTCTTTCTTGGCTGGTGTTCCTTTGTACAAAGGCTAGCTGCACCAAACTAACTAGTTAGGAAAGACAACAAGCTTAGCAATCATCAGCTACAAAAGAAAGGCATCGCAGCCTGCCTGCAAAGGTCATGAATGTTCAGTCGGTCTGGATGAATGAATCACACACACTATGTATGTTGGGAGTCAAGCCGATGCGTCAAAGCCCCACTGGAATTCTTAGAACAGCAAATACCACGCACAAAAATAGCTTGCTGTGAATCGGTCAGCGAAGCAGAATCGGATAGCTAGCACACTTGGAAGCACGACGTGACGGTCCAGCATGAGGATCCTCTACCGTTCGGCAGCCTGCCGTTCTACCACTGACATGTGGGCCTGTGGGAAACCTGGCCATAAATGGATCTGGTTGAGTTGGGGGGAAAGGAGGAAGATTGGGGGGTCTAGAGAGCAACAATGGCGGATTTACGAACAAGCGGGGTTCAAATCTGCGAAATGGGGAATAATCCCCTCTCTTCATAACACCGGTGGATGCCCAAAGAGGTTTCCCCCTGCGCCAGAATTCAGACGCCGTCAACAGCGACGAGACATAGCAGCCATGGTCCAGATTGAGGTTGCCCTCCCCTTTTGAGGCGCAGCAGACCTGTTGTGGTTTGATCCAGATTGATATGCATGCCGCCGGGACTGGCGTTGAACCTCATATTTTTTCCATGACCAAGAGGCAAATAAATTTGTAACTCGCTCTTCGGCTAAATAAAACAAGAAAACTATATTGAGCATGGAAACATGCACCCAGCAAACTTAAAAGGTTGAGCATGTATGACCAACATGATGAAACAAAATTAAGAGGTTGAGCATGTATGATGAAACAAAATCAATGGTCCTAGGCTGTGCTAAGCTACCACCACAAACTAAACCAATGCCATATAACAAAACAAAAAAAAGACAGTATCCAACCCCTCCACTACTTCTGTAATTACACCTCAGTGACAAACCACCCTCCATACCCAGCAAGAGAGCTCACCCATCCTAAATGGGCAAAACAAGTAAATTATTTCTAGTTATGATCGATCTGCACCAAAGTAGGAACCCAATCTAACAATCATCAGTTACAAAAAGGGCATGAATGTATAGGTAGCACAGCCTGCACATGTCAAATATCTTGAGAAGAAAGTCCATGCTCGCTCGCCAAATCATGCAACGATGGAGCTGATCCGATGCGCTACAATGGTATTCCAGCTCCATCCACTCCACGCCCCAGTGTAATTTTCAAAATGACAAATACCAATAGAATTTCAGTCCCATCAAAGCCCCAGTAACATATAATCAATACTGAATACCATCTGCCAATCCTATT